GATGGATTTCATGGTTACACATCGACCATAATTAAAGCATAGTGACTAATCACAAAAAATATGTAATTATAGATGTTTTCCGACTGTCTTAGGCGACCCCTGTGAAAGGTTCGTTCGACCCCCAAAGGGGTCGCGACCCACAGGTTGAGAACCGCTGCTTTCATGGGTAAAGACAAAGATGGGTGACGTCTATTCTTTGAATTCCTCCTAATGGCCTCACCTCATTCATGGACCAGCTTTGTAGGGGACAGACATAGAATCATGGAGACAAGCTATGGGTACGGGAAAGATGAATCCTGTTCTGTACACAAGGATTGTTTTGCTCTGATGAGAGAAAACACATTCTGTCCTGGCTGTGAGTTAATCGCCCTGGGATGTGGGAGTCCGCATTGGAATGCAGTCCATCCTCTTTTTCCAAGAACTGCCTGTCGTCATGGAAATGGTCACAACCTTGTCTCTGTCGCAATCTGGCCCCAGGGACACCCAGCCTTTTTGAGCTCAGCCTGCAATGGCTGTAGCCTGCAGCTATTACATCATGCCTCCTTCCCCAGGCCTAGCATTCCTACTTCCCCTGATGTAATCTTTTTAAAAAAATAAATATATTTATATATATATTTTTTTATTTCAGAGAGGAAGGGAGAGGTAGAGAGAGATAGCAAACATCCATGATGTTTTTGTGAACTAAACCTCTAGTAATATTATAACTGTGTATGGTGTCAGATAGGTATGAGATTAATTGCATGATTTCTTAGTCCATTACATAATGTCTATTCATTGGGGTGTACCCATGAAATCAACCTAATGTTCTATGACAACTGTAATTTAAAAATTGTTTTAAAAATTCCATAGGACCATGTTACATTCATAGGGTCATATTTTACCTTAAGTATGTTTTGTACAGTTTGTTTGAGAAGAGAGCTCCAAAACTGAAAAGAAAGAAAAGCTGAGATTTATAAATTTGCAAAGTAAACCAAAGGCAACCACAAACACAACCATAAAAACCATAAAGATAAAAGCCGAAGTAAAATACGTTTGGAGACGCCACCCCCTGTCTTTCGATGCCAGGACCAAAGTTGCGAGAGGCTCTGAGAAGCTGTGGCTGTTGCTCCTTGGATCACGGAGGGGTCATGGCCGAGCTCCCTGTGAAGGTGCACCTCAACTCGCAGGCCCTCTGCCTGGCTGTCCTTGGTGCCTCGCTGTATGAGGACGAGAACCATTGCACATGGCTGCATCACGTCATGGACACAGGAGGTGACCTGCAAGTTCGGTTGTGCCAGGTCGACTACCCCAGTGGGCGTATAACACTCACCACCAGCCCGCTGACCTCGATCACCATGCCTTCGTGGTGGACGCTCCACCATGGCATCCAATAACGGGACTCCATTGGCTGGTTCTGGAGCATTGTGCACCACGTCAAGGAGAATGGCATGAAGGAAATGATCCTTGAGCTGATGGAAGACTCGTAGGACATGTGATGGGGTCCCTGGCTCTTGTCAACCGGAACATCAGTCCTGCTGGCCTGCTGTGGGACGTGTATAGTTCTGTTCACCTTTTAATAAGCTTTGTTATTCTTTCTGCCACCGCCTGGGTGCAAGGGCACATTGATTTCTCTCTCTCTCTCTCTCTCTCTCTCTCTCTCTCTCTCTTCTTGTTCTTGTTCTTGTTCTTCTTCATCTTTTTTCTCTTTGTCTCTCAGTCTCTCTCCCTCTCTCACAAATCAATAAAAGCATTTTGATCCAAGCTGTTGTTTCTCCGTGGTTGAAGGACAACATATGAACCCGGAGGTCACGGTTCGATTCCAGATTAGGGCACAGACAAGAATTAACCAATGAGCCCTAGCTCGTTTGGCTCAGTGGATAGAGGGCTGGACTGTGGATTCTGGAAGGTCCCAGGTTCGATTCTGTTCTAGGGCACATGCTCTGGTTGTGGGCTCGATCCCATGTAGGGGGCGTGCAGGAGATACCCGATGTATGATTCTCTCTCATCATTGATGTTTCCCTCTCCCTTCTTGTATGAAATCAATCCTATATAATAAAAGCCTAATATGCTAACTGTCCAGTTGACCGATCATCTGTTCAACCAATCAAAGCATAATATGCAAATGACATACTAAGGTTGCTCAACTGCTCGCTATGACATGCATTGACCACCAGGGACAAGACTTCAGACGGGTAGGTGAGCTTACTGCTCGGGTCTGGCTGATCGGGACTGAGTGAGACGCGCTGGACACACCCTGCAGC